GGGGGGGGGGTTCAAGTCAAAAGTGGACAAAAGTGGACAAAGGGGGAGGGGGGTAAAAAATAGCAAAAAATTGGTGGACGTCTTTTATGGATGGCCCCATAGTTCACCCAATGTTAGACTATGCTGGTCAAGTGATTAGTTCACCCAATGTTAGACTATACTGGTCAAGAGAATAGTTAACCCAATGTTAGACTATGCTGGTCAAGTGATTAATTCACCCAATTTTGGACTATACTAGTCATGTGAATAGTTCACCCAATGTTAGACTTTGCTGGTCAAGTGATTAATTCACCCAATTTTGGACTATACTAGTCAAGTGAATAGTTCACCCAATGTTAGACTATGCTGGTCAAGTGATTAATTCACCCATTGTTAGACTATACTGGTCAATTGATTAATTCACCCAATGTTAGACTATGCTGGTCAAGTGAATAGTTCACCCAGAGTTAGACTATGCTGGTCAAGTGATTAGTTCACCCAATGTTAGACTTAGCTGGACAAGTGATTAGGTAACCCAATGTTAGACTATACTGGTCAAGAGAATAGTTAACCCAATGTTAGACTATACTGGTCAAGTGATTAGTTAACCCAATGTTAGACTATACTGGTCAAGTGATTAGTTCACCCAATGTTAGACTATGCTGGTCAAGTGAATAGTTCACCCAATGTTAGACTTAGCTGGTCAAGTGATTAGTTCACCCAATGTTAGACTATGCTGGTCAAGTGATTAATTCACCCAATGTTAGACTATGCTGGTCAAGTGATTAATTCACCCAATGTTAGACTTAGCTGGACAAGTGATTAGTTCACCTATGACACACATAAGGTTATTTTAATGATTCTAATGAAGAAATGTGCACTACAAGTTCAAATATCTTTACTTAATCCTTCCATTCTCCTGTGCTCTGTACCCCACACCTCAATCAGTGCACTTTCCCACTACCTCATTCAATGCACTTTCCCACATCCTCATTCAGTGCACTTTCCCCACATCCTCATTCAATGCACTTTCCCCACAACCACATTCAGTGCACTTTCCACACAACCTCATTTAGTTTTCTTTCCACACAACCTCATTCAGTGCACTTTCCCCAAGAGTCGTACAGCTTTGACACTTGAACAGAACAGATGAAATGACACTAGTCAAAGTGAGCTCAGAAGAATCAACTCAATGAAAGAGAACTCCAATTATTTTGCTCTAAACAGATGTATAGAAATATTTATTAATGCTGGTTTCCAATCGCTTTGGTCAAGTCTATCGTGCAGACACTAGTCGTTTATTGCGTGAGGCATATTGATGACTTCAGTCACTGTAATCATGTCGTAACATCAAGAAGAGTGCCAGCGGTGACCATAGTTTCAATGCCATGCATTCCATGAAGAGCTCACTTTTTAACCTATGAACTGACAGTTGACCCAAACTTTCGTGTTTCATCGTGGGCGTTTAAAAAAATGTCTGAAGTTTTCAGGCCAAATGATTGGTTGACATGTCATTTTCCAGACGACGCCACGTTCACCAAACTTTACACTTTGTTTTGGCACCAGAATGACAGCTGAAGGCGGCCAAGAATTCAACACTGCCTGACAGACTTCCGTTGACTCTGTGCATGGGGGGGGGGGGGGGGGGGTTGTTGAGGGGGGGGGGGGTAAGAGGGTTGGGATCAAAGGATGGCATGTGCTCAACACTGCCTGACAGACTTCCGTTGACTCTGTGCATGGGGGGGGGGGGAGGGGGGGTTGTTGAGAGGGGTGGGGGTAACAAGATTGGGATCAAAAGATGGCATGTGCAATGTACATGACTTATGACGTATTGGTAGTTGTATGGCAATGGTTTTATGACATCATGTGTACATGACATATGATATATGACAGGGGACATATTTATATGACATATATATGACAGTGGAAGTAGGTAAATGTAGTGTCGGTATACGGTGGTGTAGCAAGGATAAAGTACCCCTCTGGGCAATATTGCCCCCCCCCCTCACCCTTTTCATCTTCCACAAAAAAAAACTTTGGCGTTGGCCAAATAGGACATCCCTTGATACAAAGAAAAAAAGTGTGCCCTCTGCCCCCACCCCTTTCCCACTGATGGTGTGGCGCCCGATGCTGTGGCGCTGATGGTGTGGCACTGAAGGTGTGGCACTGATTCTATTTTCATAAACATTAAAGGCTTACTTTCACCCCACAAGTCCCAGGGGTTTGAGGGTAACTTTGCAGCGTGACTTTGTTTTGTCCCACGTGGCCCTCTCATTCAGTTGATCGCAGTTGACCGCGTCTGCCTCGTGGTAGCTCAGGTGAGAAATGTAGGATTGGGGTGAGGGGTGGTTTGGATGGACTTTGGCGCAGGGTGTCAGGCGTTTGGTTTCGGAGGTCCGGCAACCAGGGGTATGAAACCCCACTGCCATTGAGTCCTACTTTTTAGCTATACGCCTAGTATTGAGTTAAGTTACTTTAAACGGAATTTTGTAAGCAATCGTTGTTGTTGTTTTTTTTAAAGTAAATAATTACAATTAGAATTTTTTTATACTAAAAGGTAGAAAATAAAATTTATATTTAAAAATTTAATTTTTAAAAAGATTTGCTTTTTCAAAGACGAGTTGAGACTCACTCAAAGTTAGAAATATAAAATTATTTTCTACTTTTTAGAGCGTTTAAACTCATTTTTTATATTTCAATTTATTATTTAATCCGGTAGAATAACACAATACATAATATTTATTTATCTTTCCTTTTTTTTTTCTTGCCTTTTTAAAAAAAAAAATCATTTCCAAAATGTTAAAGCCATCATTCACTCACCTCATCCGCAATGTTATAGCCATCATTCACTCACCTCATCCTCAATGTTATAGCCATCATTCACTCACCTCATCCTCAATGTTATAGCCATCATTCACTCACCTCATCCTCAATGTTATAGCCATCATTCACTCACCTCATCCTCAATGTTATAGTCATCATTCACTCACCTCATCCTCAATGTTATAGCTATCATTCACTCACCTCATCCTCAATGTTACAGCTATCATTCACTGACCTCATCCTCAATGTTATAGCCATCATTCACTGACCTCATCCTCAATGTTAGAGCCATCATTCACTCACCTCATCCTCAATGTTACAGCTATCATTCACTGACCTCATCCTCAATGTTACAGCTATCATTCACTCACCTCATCCTCAATGTTATAGCTATCATTCACTAACCTCATCCTAAATGTTATAGCTATCATTCACTGACCTCATCCTCAATCTTATAGTCATCATTCACTCACCTCATCCTCACTGTTATAGCTATCATTCACTCACCTCATCCTCAATGTTACAGCTATCATTCACTGACCTCATCCTCAATGTTATAGTCATCATTCACTGACCTCATCCTCAATGTTATAGCTATCATTCACTCACCTCATCCTCAATGTTACAGCTATCATTCACTGACCTCATCCTCAATGTTACAGCTATCATTCACTGACCTCATCCTCAATGTTATAGCTATCATTCACTGACCTCATCCTCAATTTTATAGCCATCATTCACTCACCTGATCCGCTCTGGAGCGTGTGGTGCATGATTGGCTAACAGCGCCTCTATCGGGGGTTCTGAGACTGCACAGAATGCCTACAGAAGACAGAAACGAATAAGATGGGGTCTAAACTCAATAAATGGTTGACACATTTGAAGTTGTTTATATCAGGGATTCTGAAACTTTTTGCAGCACCCCCCCCCCCTAATTTTTAATTATTTTCAAAACCCAAATATCTATTTTAAAAAAATGTATTCTTCCCCCCTTTTGAATGTGTTTTTATCACGGATTCTGAAACTTTTTTCAGCCCCCCCCCCCCCTAATTTTTAATTATTTTCAAAACCCAAATATCTATTTTAAAAAAATGTATTCTTCCCCCCCCCCCCCACACAAAATATTTAAAATTATATAAATGGAAACACACCTTTTAATTTTCTGGTTTCTCCCTAACCACCTGACACTGCGTTCCACACACCCTGGGTTGAGAATCCCTGTTTATTATGTTTACATAGATGCTACTGTTATTTAAAGACGAAAGTACTAAGTACATGCATAAACCTTTCATTGTTAAAAACATGTCAAATACATGATCATGAACTGATGACACACAAGTTGAAATACAACAAGAATCATCAATCTTTATGTCTCATGGTGCAAGCAGTCAGGTGGACACCTCTCTACTTATTGGTGTCTGAAGTCTGTGGTACACCTCTCTACTTATTGGTGTCTGAAGTCTGTGGTACACATCTCTACTTATTGGTGTCTGCAGTCAGTGGTACACATCTCTACTTATTGGTGTATGTAGTCAGTGGTACACATCTCTACTTATTGGTGTCTGCAGTTAGTGGTACACATCTCAACTTATTGGTATATGCAGTCAGTGGTACACATCTCTACTTATTGGTATATGCAGTCAGTGGTACACCTCTCTACTTATTGGTATATGCAATCAGTGGTACACCTCTCTACTTATTGGTGTCTGCAGTCAGTGGTACACCACTCTACTTATTGGTGTCAGCAGTCAGTGGTACACATCTCTACTTATTGATGTATGCAGTCAGTGGTACACCCCTCTACTTATTGGTATATGCAGTCAGTGGTACACCTCTCTACTTATTGGTGTATGCAGTCAGTGGTACACCACTCTACTTATTGGTGTAGGCAGTCACTGGTACAAATCTCTACTTATTGGTGTGCAGTCAGTGGTACACCTCTCTACTTATTGGTATATGCAGTCAGTGGTACACCTCTCTACTTATTGGTGTATGCAGTCACTGGTACACATCTCTACTTATTGGTGTGCAGTCAGTGGTACACCTCTCTACTTATTGGTGTAGGCAGTCACTGGTACACATCTCTACTTATTGGTGTCTGAAGTCTGTGGTAAACATCTCTACTTATTGGTGTCTGAAGTATGTGGTACACATCTCTACTTATTGGTGTCTAATGTCTGTGGTACACATCTCTACTTATTGGTGTCTGAAGTCTGTGGTACACATCTCTACTTATTGGTGTATGCAGTCAGTGGTACACATCTCTACTTATTGGTATATGCAGTCAGTGGTACAGCAATCTACTTATTGGTGTATGCAGTCAGTGGTACACATCTCTACTTATTGGTATATGCAGTCAGTGGTACACATCAATACTTATTGGTGTATGCAGTCAGTGTTACACATCTCTACTTATTGGTGTCTGCAGTCAGTGGTACACATCTCTACTTATTGGTATATGCAGTCAGTGGTACAGCCCTCTACTTATTGGTATATGCTGTCAGTGGTACACATCTCAACTTATTGGTATATGCAGTCAGTGGTACACATCTCTACTTATTTGTGTATGCAGTCAATGGTACACATCTCTACTTATTGGTATATGCGGTCAGTGGTACACCTCTCTACTTATTGGTGTCCGCAGTCAGTGGTACACATCTCTACTTATTGGTATATGCAGTCTGTTGTACACCTCTCTACTTATTGGTGTATGCAGTCAGTGGTACACATCTCTACTAATTGGTATATGCAGTCAGTAATACACATCTCTACTTATTGGTATATGCAGTCAGTGGTACACATCTCTACTTATTGGTGTCTGAAGTCTGTGGTACACATCTCTACTTATTGGTATATGCAGTCAGTGGAACACATCTCTACTTATTGGTATATGCAGTAAGTGGTACACATCTCTACTTATTGGTATATGCTGTCAGTGGTACACATCTCTACTTATTGGTGTCTGCAGTCAGTAATACACCTCTCTACTTATTGGTGTCTGCAGTCAGTGGTACACCCCTCTACTTATTGGTGTCCGCAGTCAGTGGTACACCTCTCTACTTATTGGTGTGCACTCAGTGGTACACCTCTCTACTTATTGGTGTATGCAGTCAGTGGTACACCTCTCTATTTATTGGTGTGCGGTCAGTGGTACACCTCTCTACTTATTGGTGTATGCAGTCAGTGGTACACCTCTCTACTTATTGGTGTATGCAGTCAGTGGAACACCTCTCTACATTTTGGTGTATGCAGTCAGTGGTACACCCCTCTACGTATTGTTGTCTGCAGTCAGTGGTACACCTCTCTACTTATTGGTGTATGCAGTCAGTGGTACAAATCTCTACTTCTTGGTGTATGCAGTCAGTGGTACACCTCTCTACTTATTGGTGTATGCAGTCAGTGTTACACATCTCTACTTATTGGTATATGCAGTCAATGGTACACATCTCTACTTATTGGTGTCTGCAGTCAGTGGTACACATCTCTACTTATTGGTGTGCAGTCAGTGGTACACCTCTCTACTTATTGGTGTATGCAGTCAGTGGTACACATCTCTACTTATTGGTGTCTGCAGTCAGTGGTACACCTCTCTACTTATTGGTGTATGCAGTCAGTGGTACACATCTCTACTTATTGGTATATGCAGTCAATGGTACACATCTCTACTTATTGGTGTCTGCAGTCAGTGGTACACATCTCTACTTATTGGTGTGCAGTCAGTGGTACACCTCTCTACTTATTGGTGTATGCAGTCAGTGGTACACATCTCTACTTATTGGTGTCTGCAGTCAGTGGTACACATCACTACTTATTGGTGTCCGCAGTCAGTGGTACACCTCTCTACTTATTGGTGTCTGCAATCATTGGCACACATCTCTACTTATTGGTGTATGCAGTCAGTGGTACACCACTCTTTTTATTGGTGTATGCAGTCAGTGGTACACATCTGTACTAATTGATGTCTGCAGTCAGTGGTACACATCTCTACTTATTGGTGTCTGCAGTCAGTGGTACACATCACTACTTATTGGTGTCTGCAGTCAGTGGTACACCACTCTACTAATTGATGTCTGCAGTCAGTGGTACACATCTCTACTTATTGGTGTATGCAGTCAGTGGTAAACCCCTCTACTTATTGGTGTATGCAGTCAGTGGTACACATCACTACTTATTGGTGTCTGAAGTATGTGGTACACATCTCTACTTATTTATATATGCAGCCAGTGGTACACATCTCTACTTATTGGTATATGCAGTCAGTGGTACACATCTCTACTTATTGGTATATCCAGTCAGTGGTACACATCTCTACTTATTGGTGTATGCAGTCAGTGGTACACATATCTACTTATTAATATATGCAGTCAGTGGTACAGCTCTCTACTTATTGGTGTCTGCAGTCAGTGGTACACATCTCTACTTATTGGTGTATGCAGTCAGTGGTACACCCCTCTACTTATTGGTGTATGCAGTCAGTGGTACACATCTCTACTTATTGGAGTCTGAAGTCTGTGGTACACATCTCTACTTATTTATATATGCAGTCAGTTGTACACATCTCTACTTACTGGTATATGCAGTCAGTGGTACACATCTCTACTTATTGGTGTATGCAGTCAGTGGTGCACATATCTACTTATTAATATATGCAGTCAGTGGTACACATCTCTACTTATTGGTATATGCAGTCAGTGGTACACATCTCTACTTATTGGTGTATGCAGTCAGTGGTACACCTCTCTACTTATTGGTGTCGGCAGTCAGTGGTACACATCTCTACTTATTTGTGTATGCAGTCAGTGGTACACATCTTTACTTATTGGTGTATGCAGTCAGTGGTACACCTCTCTACTTATTGGTGTATGCAGTCAGTGGTACACATCTCTACTTATTGGTGTCTGCAGTCAGTGGTACACATCTCTACTTATTGGTGTATGCAGTCAGTGGTACACATCTCTACTAATTGGTGTCTGCAGTCAGTGGTACACATCTCTACTTATTGGTGTAGGCAGTCAGTGGTACACATCTCTACTTAATGGTGTCTGCAGTCAGTGGTACACCTCTCTACTTATTGGTGTTTGCAATCAGTGGTACACATCTCTACTTATTGGTGTCTGCAGTTAGTGGTACACCTCTCTACTTATTGGTGTCTGCAGTCAGTGGTACACCGCTCTACTTATTGGTGTATGCAGTCAGTGGTACAGCTCTCTACTTATTGGTGTCTGCAGTCAGTGGTACAGCTCTCTACTTAATATTGGTGTACAGTCGTTCCTCACCACTTCATGCTTATATTCGCGCCTTCACTATAATGCGTTTTTGCTTCAAAAATATGAAATGTGTCCATTAAAAAGTTAATTGAGATAGTTAGTTAATTATAAGCCCCTGTATTACAATTAAACTACCGTACGTTTGGACTGTATCGTTATGTATTCGAGCACCACACCTGGTTGTACCCTAAAAAGAATAGCTAATTATGTGTGTGGTACCTGGCTGTACCCTTGAAAGAACAGCTGATTATGTGTACTGTACCTGGCTGTACCCTATAAAAAACAGCTGATTAAGCGTGTAATTTAATCCTGGCAACATCTTGGCGTTAGAGTGCTCTTCCTTGGCAGCCTTGTAGGCCAACATGAGACCGCCACTGTCAGCAACATTCTCACTCAAAGTCTCCAGGCCATTCAGCTGTATGGAGACAAAGTATGCTGTAATATCAATACCCTTGGAACAGTTTACCTCAGCCTACTAGAACATGAGCCCATTCAGCTGTATGGAGACAAAGTATGGCGTAATATCAATACCCTTGGAACAGTCTACCTCAGCCTACTAGAACATGAGCCCATTCAGCTGTATGGAGACAAAGTATGGCATAATATCAATACCCTTTTAACAGTCTAACTCAGCTGACTAGAACATGAGCCCATTCAGCTGTATGGAGACAAAGTATGGCGTAATATCAATACCCTTTAAACAGTCTAACTCAGCTTACTAGAACATGAGCCCATTCAGCTGTATGGAGACAAAGTATGGCATAATATCAATACCCTTTTAACAGTCTAACTCAGCTGACTAGAACATGAGCCCATTCAGCTGTATGAAGACAAAGTATGGCGTAATATCAATACCCTTTAAACAGTCTAACTCAGCTGACTAGAACATGAGCCCATTCAGCTGTATGAAGACAAAGTATGGCGTAATATCAATACCCTTTTAACAGTCTAACTCAGCTTACTAGAACATGAGCCCATTCAGCTGTATGGAGACAAAGTATGGCGTAATATCAATACCCTTGGAACAGTCTACCTCAGCCTACTAGAACATGAGCCCATTCAGCTGTATGGAGACAAAGTATGGCATAATATCAATACCCTTTTAACAGTCTAACTCAGCTGACTAGAACATGAGCCCATTCAGCTGTATGGAGACAAAGTATGGCGTAATATCAATACCCTTTAAACAGTCTAACTCAGCTTACTAGAACATGAGCCCATTCAGCTGTATGGAGACAAAGTATGGCATAATATCAATACCCTTTTAACAGTCTAACTCAGCTGACTAGAACATGAGCCCATTCAGCTGTATGAAGACAAAGTATGGCGTAATATCAATACCCTTTAAACAGTCTAACTCAGCTGACTAGAACATGAGCCCATTCAGCTGTATGAAGACAAAGTATGGCGTAATATCAATACCCTTTTAACAGTCTAACTCAGCTTACTAGAACATGAGCCCATTCAGCTGTATGGAGACAAAGTATGGCGTAATATCAATACCCTTTTAACAGTCTAACTCAGCTGACTAGAACATGAGCCCATTCAGCTGTATGGAGACAAAGTATGGTGTAATATCAATACCCTTTTAACAGTCTAACTCAGCTGACTAGAACATGAGCCCATTCAGCTGTATGGAGACAAAGTATGGCGTAATATCAATACCCTTTTAACAGTCTAACTCAGCTGACTAGAACATGAGCCCATTCAGCTGTATGGAGACAAAGTATGGCGTAATATCAATACCCTTTTAACAGTCTAACTCAGCTTACTAGAACATGAGCCCATTCAGCTGTATGGAGACAAAGTATGGTGTAATATCAATACTCTTTTTACAGTCTACCTCAGCCTACTGTTACATGTACAATAGGTAACTCAGTCTACCCAAGTCTACTGTGACATGCACATAAGTGAATCAGTCTATCTAAGTCTACTAGGACATGCACATAAGTAAGTCAGTCTACCTACGTCTACTGTGACATGCACATAGGTGAGTCAGTCTACCTAAGTCTACTAGGACATGCACATAGGTGAGTCAGTCTACCTTAGTCTACTTTGACATGCACATAGGTGAGTCAGTCTACCTAAGTCTACTGTGACCTGCACATGAGTAAGTCATTCTACCTCGCCTACTCTGACATGCACATAAATAATTTAGCCAACCTTAGTCTACTGTGACATGCACATAGGTGAGTCAGTCTACCTAAGTCTACTAGGACATGCACATAGGTGAGTCAGTCTACCTAAGTCTACTGTGACTAGCACATAGGTGAGTCAGTCTACCTAAGTCTACTAGGACATGCACATAGGTGAGTCAGTCTACCTAAGTCTACTGTGATTAGCACATATGTGAGTCAGTCTACCTAAGTCTACTAGGACATGCACATAGGTGAGTCAGTCTACCTTAGTCTACTGTGACGTGCACATACGTGAATCGGTCTACCATCACATGGACTTAAGTAAGTCAGTCTACCTTACTTTACTATGAGATGAAAATAAGTAAGAAAACAGACACATGATACTAACCTAGGAATTGTGGGTAAGACAACAGGAAGTACAAAAGTATTGGTTGTAATCAACAACAAAATTTGGAGGGGGGGAGGGGGCGGGGGCTATAAGAAAAATGATATTTCCTTAAGGCTTAATGATTATTTTAAAAAATGTAAACTAATGTTGTATCATTGTTGCATACCTGTAGCATAATTCTAATCTGTAGTGGTCAATATAACACAGACTCACCGGGAAGCCTTCAATGTTATAGTAACTGTAATGGTCAATAAAACACAGACTCACAGGGAAGCCTTGAATGTTTTAGTAACTGTAGTGGTCAATGAAACACAGACTCACCGGGAAGCATTCAATGTTATAGGAGCTGTAGTGGTCAATAAAACACAGACTCACTGGGAAGCCTTCAATGTTATATGAGCTGTAGTGGTCAATAAAACACAGACTCACCGGGAAGCCTTCAATGTTATAGGAGCTGTAGTGGTCAATAAAACACAGACTCACCGGGAAGCCTTCAATGTTATAGGAGCTGTAGTGGTCAATGAAACACAGACTCACCGGGAAGCCTTGAATGTTATAGTAACTGTAGTGGTCAATGAAACACAGACTCACCGGGAAGCCTTGAATGTTATAGTAACTGTAGTGGTCAATAAAACACAGACTCACCGGGAAGCCTTAAATGTTATAGTAACTGTAGTGGTCAATGAAACACAGACTCTCTGGGAAGCCTTCAATGTTATAGGAGCTGTAGTGGTCAATAAAACACAGACTCACCGGGAAGCCTTAAATGTTATAGTAACTGTAGTGGTCAATGAAACACAGACTCTCTGGGAAGCCTTCAATGTTATAGGAGCTGTAGTGGTCAATAAAACACAGACTCACCGGGAAGCCTTCAATGTTATAGGAGCTGTAGTGGTCAATAAAACACGGGCTGTCCTTGAAGAAGTCTGCAGCAGACATGGATGGCAACTCCATTTTTTTCCCATTCTCATCTAGCATAATCCCGTCATTATCGAAGGCGTGGGTCATCTCGTGAGCAATGGCAAACCCAATAGCGCCATAGACATAGGGCCTGACGAAAGGCAAACAAATCATAGACATAGTGCCTGACAGAAGGCAAACAAATCATAGACATAGTGCCTGATGGAAGGCAAACAAATCATAGACATAGGGGCTGATGGAAGGCAAACAAATCATAGACATAGGGGCTGATGGAAGGCAAACAAATCATAGACATAGTGCCTGACAGAAGGCAAACAAATCATAGACATAGTGCCTGACAGAAGGCAAACAAATCATAGACATAGGGGCTAATGGAAGGCAAACAAATCATAGACATAGTGCCTGACGGAAGACAAACAAATCATAGACATAGTGCCTGGCGGAAGGCAAACAAATCATAGACATAGGGGCTGACGGAAGGCAAACAAATCATAGACATAGGGGCTGATGGAAGGCAAACAAATCATAGACATAGGGCCTGACAGAAGGCAAACAAATCATAGACATAGTGCCTGACAGAAGGCAAACAAATCATAGGCATAGTGCCTGAAGGAAGGCAAACAAATCATAGGCATAGTGCCTGAAGGAAGGCAAAAAAATCATAGACATAGTGCCTGACAGAAGGCAAACAAATCATAGGCATAGTGCCTGAAGGAAGGCAAACAAACCATAGGCATAGTGCCTGACAGAAGGCAAACAAATCATAGACATAGGGGCTAATGGAAGGCAAACAAATCATAGACATAGTGCCTGACAGAAGGCAAACAAATCATAGACATAGGGGCTAATGGAAGGCAAACAAATCATAGACATAGGGCCTGACAGAAGGCAAACAAATCATAGACATAGTGCCTGACAGAAGGCAAACAAATCATAGACATAGTCCCTGACAGAAGGCAAACAATCATAGACATAGTGCCTGACAGAAGGCAAACAAATCATAGACATAGTCCCTGACAGAAGGCAAACAAATCATAGACATAGTGCCTGACAGAAGGCAAACAAATCATAGGCATAGTGCCTACTAATCCTTTTTCAGACAAAGTCTACTTATCCTTCCGCTAAAGTCTACTTATGCTTCAGATCAAGTTTATCAATCCTTCCGCTAAAGTCTACTTATGCTTCAGATCAAGTTTATCAATCCTTCAGATAAAGTCTACTAATCCTTCATATTTGTCAACAAAGAAAAACAACAAATGAAAAAACCAATGAGTTCTTTGTTGTACTCACGTTGGCCAGATGAGAATTTGTTCCGCAGGGTAGAGGAAAGCCGCTGTCACCACAATGACGTTAGTAAACCTGTGGTACACCACCTTTACTACATCCGGAGAAAACAACCACCTGGGAAAATAACAGTTGTAAACAAAATTCTCATAGTTTAACAAAATGGCTTTCTCATAGTTTTAACAAAATGACTTCCTCATAATTTAACAAAATGGCTTCCTCATAGTTTTAACAAAATAGCTACCTCAGAGTTGTAAACAAAATGGCTTTGTATTTTTTTTTTTCATTTTCTAATTGCTGAATGCAATAATCTAGGACATCAGTTTATTCCGTCAGAACCAGCCATATGAAGATTTCATAAACAGATGAACAGGAAAATATAAACTACTGACATAAGTTGGGAAGGGGGGGAGCTAGTAGTCATGATTAGTACAAGCAACAGAAACTAACTGTACCAACAGATATAAACTTTGAAAATATTTAACACCAAGGAGGAATTGCAGCTGGCATACCACGGCTGGAATCATTGTCAGATGAAGTAGGGCAGAGAATGTGGTCGACCCAAGCCTCACAGTTTTAACAATTGCATTTTTTTGTGTCCATTACATAAAAACAAATATAAGAACAAGTTATGCCAAACTTGAATTCATAAACAGGACAAACGATTTAGACATTTCAGCTTAGAGCCTTCATCAGAAAACAAGACAAAAAGAGGTAAAAAAAACTTGAGAGATTTCAGGCAACGTAAGCTCTACCTGGCCACCCCGAGGTGTGATAAGCTCTACCTGGCCACCCGGGTGTGATAAGCTCTACCAACCCTACTGGCCACCACGGGTGTGATAAGCTCTACCTGGCCACCCCGGGTGTGATGAGCTCTACCAACCCTACTGGCCACCCCGGGTGTGATAAGCTCTACCTGGCCACCCCGGGTGTGAAAAGCATTACCAACCCTACTGGCCACCCTGGGTGTGATAAGCTCTACCAACCCTACTGGCCACACCGGGTGTGAAAAGCTCTACCTGGCCACCCCGGGTGTGATAAGCTCTACCAACCCTACTGGCCACCCCGGGTGTGATAAGCTCTACCTGGCCACCCCGGGTGTGATAAGCATTACCAACCCTACTGGCCATCCTAGGTGAGATAAGCTCTACTAACCCTACTGGCCACCCTGGGTGTGATAAGCTCTACCAACCCTACTGGCCACCATGGGAGTGATAAGCTCTACCTGGCCACCCCGGGTGTGATAAGCATTACCAACCCTACTGGCCACCCTGGATGAGATAAGCTCTACCAACCCTACTGGCCACCTCAGGTGTCATAAGCTCTACCTGGCCACCCCGGGTGTGATAAGCTCTAACTACCCTGCTGGTTGTGACTGTTTTTAAAAGGCGAATGAAAGAAGAGTAGAAGACTTTATCTATTCATTTTTTAAAAAATAAGCCAATATTCTACACTAAAACATACTGAGTCTTGTCAAATTTGCTGAGCGTGTCTTTCGCTAACTGAGCGTGGGACTGCTGCACCAGACTGAGGTGGCTGTAGAGCAGCTCTCCGTTGGTGACATTGTAGGCCTTGTAGAAATCATCGAGTTTGTTGGACTGCAGGATCCAGTCAGGATAACCGCTGGATATGCTCATGGCCTCCAACTTTTTTAACACCATCTCCGAGGTTAGCTTGTCCATCCATTTTAGTCTCTTGACATTCTGGGAAAACTGTGACTTGATCTTGGTAAACATACTTGTGATCTGATGGATAGTGGGCCTTTGTGATCTGATGGATAGTGGGCCTTTGTGATCTGATGGTTAGTGGGCCTTTGTGATCTGATGGATAGTGGGCCTTTGTGATCTGATGGATAGTGGGCCTTTGTGATCTGATGGATAGTGAGCCTTTGTGATCTGATGGATAGTGGGCATTTGTGATCTGATGGATAGTGGGCCTTTGTGATCTGATGGACAGTGGGCCTTTGTGATCTGATGGATAGTGGGCCTTTGTGATCTGATGGATAGTGGGCCTTTGTGATCTGATGGATAGTGGGCCTTTGTGATCTGATGGATAGTGGGCCTTTGTGATCTGATGGATAGTGGGCCTTTGTGATCTGATGGATAGTGGGCCTTTGTGATCTGATGGATAGTGGGCCTTTGTGATCTGATGGATAGTGGGCCTTTGTGATCTGATGGATAGTGGGCCTTTGTGATCTAATGGATAGTGGGCCTTTGTGATCTGATGGATAGTGTGCCTTTGTGATTTGATGGATAGTGGGCCTTTGTGATCTGATGGATAGTGGGCCCTTGTGATCTGATGGATAGTGAGCCCTTGTGATCTGATGGCTAGTGGGCCTTTGTGATCTGATGGATGCTGGGCCCTTGTGATCTGATGGTTAGTGGGCCCTTATGATCTGATGGATAGTGGGGCTCTTGTCATCTGATTGATTGAGGGCCCTTGGTGCAGTGTGGTGTCAAGGGTTGGACTGTGATAGTGGCCTGATGTTGTAGTGACAAGATTGGTGTAGTGTGGTGTCTAGCATCATGACGTTGTAACTGGAAGGTCAGAGGAGTGTATCATAGATTTATATTTAGTTACTTACTAAAATGAATTTTGAACAAAAAATGGTCCAACCTGTTCTCTGACTTCAATAGGAAAGTAGTCTTCAACAAACGGAGCGCTGAGTGCGTGACCCATGTGCTCGCGTAGGGTTCCCAAACAAGTCTTCCATCGCGATTCCTCGTTAACATTCACAAAATTAGCAGAACCTCTGAACTTTGAAAATACATGCCAAATAATATAGTTGGCCAATAACCTGAAAAGGAATTTATTAAAATTCAATCATGCCAACAAAAGGAAAGAAAAAAAAAACTAATTCTGAGGTGGTTGTACTGCAGTGAAGTTTTTAAGTAGATTAATTTAGAACCTATCATGGTCGATATGAAAAATATATTTATTAAAAACTTGGTTAGTTGACTTTAGACTTAACTAACCAAATTAACAATTTACAATTTTGCGATATCGTTTCCTCTTTGTTTGACACTGTAGGTGTACTTCCAATCACTTTCATTCTTTGACTGTGTGAGGAAATTCTGCCATTTTTTCCTTCCTCTCCTTCAAATTATTGCAACAAGACATTGCAACAAGACATTGCAACAAGACACTGCAAAAGACACTGCAACAAGACACTGCAACAAGACACTGCAACAAGACACTGCAACAAGACACTGCAACAAGACACTGCAACAAGACTTTGCACCAAAACACTGCAACAAGACACTGCAACAAGACATTGTAACAAGAAAAGACATTACAATAAGACATTGCAACAAGACATTGAAACAAGATATTGGAACAAGATGATACATTGCAACAAGACACTGCAACAAGACATTGGCCAACAAGACATTGCAAAAAGACAGTGCAATAGACAATGCAACAAGACTTTGCAACAAGATACTGCGACAAGACATTGCAAAAAGACAGTGCAATAGACATTGCAACAAGACAAAACATTGCAACAAGACATTGCAATGAGACTAGAGACCGACCGAATTTCGGCTTCGGCGCCAAAAGTGGCCATTTCGGTTTCGGCCGAAACTGAAAGTTAACTTTCTGCTTAATTTCGGTTTCGGACAAAAGAGGAAAGTTAACTTTCGGATTTTTTTCGGTTTCAGCCGAAATTGACTTAGACTTTTGGCTATCTGGACGAAAGTGAATGAGGTTTTCGGGCATTTTACACTCAGCGAAAGCGATATTTAACAACAAACTTATCGACATTTAAGAATAAACTAAACGCTCTTTAAGAGCAAAGTAAGCAAATCTTTAAGTACAAACTAAACGATCTTTAAAAACAAATAAAGTGATCTTTAAAATCAAATAAAGTGATCTTTAAGAACAAATTAAGCGAGATTTGAGAACAAACTAAGCGACATTTAAGATCAAACTAAACGATCTTTAAAACAAACTAAGCAATCTTTAAGAAACAATCTAAGTGATGTTTAATAAAAACTAAATGATCTTAAAGAACAAACTAAGCAATTTTTAAGAGCGAACTAAATGATCTTGAAGAAGAAAACAAATGATCTTTAATAGTAAACCAAATAATTTATAAAAATAAACTTAACAGAAAACTAAATATTCTTCAGGAACAAACTAAAAGATCTTAAATAACAAACTAATTGATCTTAAGGAACAAAATCAATTATCTATCAGAGCAAACTAAGCGATCATTATGAAAAAAATAAGCAATCTTCAACAACAAAATAAGCGATCTTTATGAACAACTAAACATAATTTAAGAACAAAATCAATGATCTTTAAGAACAAACTAAATGATCTTTATGAACTAACTAAACGATCTTTTAATAACACAAACTAAGCTATCTTAACGAAAAAACTTAGCTATCTTTTTTGAACAAACTAAATGATCTTTAATATGATCTTTAATAACAAACTAAAAGATCTTTAAACAAAAACTAAGCGATCTTTAAGAACAAACTAAGCAATCTTAAAAAACAAATAAACGATTTTGAACAACAAACTAAGCGATCTTTATGAACAAACTATACAAACTTTCAATAACAAAAACTAAGCGATCTTTAAGAAAAAACTTAGCGATCTTTTGTGAACAAACTAAATGACTTTAAATAAAAACTAAGCAATCTTTAAAAGCAAAATAAATGGATTTTTAACAACAAACTAAGCGATCTTTATGAACAAACTAAATGATCTTTTAATAACACAAACTAAGCAATCTTTAAGAAAAAACTTAGCAATCTTTTGTGATCAAAGTAAATGATCTTTAATAACAAACTAAAAGATCTTTAAACAAAAACTAAGCGATCTTTAAGAACATACTAAGCGATCTTAAAAAACAAAATAAACTATTTTTAACAACAATTTAAGCAATCTTTATGAACAAACTAACCGATCTTTTAGAACAAATAAAGCGATCGTTAGCAAAAAACTGAACGATCTTTCACAACAAACTAAGCGATCTTTAACAACAAGATGTTATATTAGATGTTTATTTATTAATATTCACGATTATCTCATTTTTTTATAAAAAGAATGTAAATATTTATCTTTCCCCCATCATTTTCGATGTATGCAGACTGTATGCGGGAACGAATTTCAAAATATCTAAATATTTCATTTTCGGTTTTGGCTTCGGTTTCGGTCGAGAGTTATTTTTAACTTTCTGCCTTTTTTCGGTTTTGGCCGAAAGTCATTTTTAAACTTTCGGCCTATTTTCGGTTTCGGACGAAAGTCATTTTACACTTCAGCCTATTTTCAGCTTCAGCCGAAATCAGAAAATCACTTTCGGTCGGTCTCTAAATGAGACATTGCAAAAAGATACTGCAAAAAGACATTGCAACAAGATATAGCAACAAGACACTGCAGCAAGACATTGCAACAAGACATTGCAATAAGACAGTGCAACATGTCACTTTATACAGTGACAAGACAGTGCAAACAGCCATCTTTTTACAGACCATGTTATATTGCACATACTCCACACACCCCACACAACCATGTAATATTGCACCTCCTCCACACACACACCCCACACAACCATGTAATATTGAACCTCCTCCACACACACACCCCACACAACCATGTAATATTGCACCTCCTCCACAAACACCCCACCCAACCATGTAATATTGAACCTCCTCCACACACACACCCCACACAACCATGTAATATTGCACCTCCTCCACACACACACCCCACACAACCATGTAATATTGCACCTCCTCCACACACACTACACACCCCCCTCAACCATGTAATATTGAACCGACTCCACACACACACCCTACACAACCATGTAATATTGCACCCCCACCACAAACACCCCACACAACCATGTAATATTGAACCTCCTCCACACACACACCCCACACAACCATGTAATATTGAACCTCCTCCATACACACACCCCACAAAACCATGTAATATTGCACCTCCTCCACACACACCCCACACAACCATGTAATATTGCACCTCCTCCACACACACACCCCACACAACCATGTAATATTGCACATACTCCACACACCCCACACAACCATGTGATATTGCACCTCCTCCACACACACACACCCCACACAAGCATGTGATATTGCACCTACTCCACATCCACACACACCCCTACACAACCAATTGCATGCTCTCCTCATTGCTAGAACTGATGACTTTATCAAGCACCTACTCCACACCCACACCCCCACACAACCCATGTGATACTGCACCCACTCCTTGTTGGTAGCACTGATGGCTTTATCAAGCGCCTAATCCACACACACACACTCCCCCACAACCCATGTGATACTGTACCCACTCCTTGTTGGTAGCACTGATGACTTTATCAAGTACCTACTCCACACACACACAGGCACACACTCCCCCACAACCCAAGTGATACTGCACCCACTCCTTGTTGGTAGCACTGATGACTTTATCAAGCTCTTTGTAAAACTCCAGAGACGTACAATACACAGGCGTATCTGCCGGAATATCTCGGCTGTAGAAAATTTTGAGGTACTTCTTGAGATCAATCTTGGGAAACAGTTGGGAAAACACTGACCAAATGATTTGTTTAGTTCTGTGGCAGTGTGGTCGTATAGTGGTATAATTGTATAGTGGTGTAAATGTATAGTGGTGTAATTTTATAGTGGTATAATTGTATAGTGGCATAATTGTATAACGGTGTAATTGTATAGCAGTGTAATTGTATAGCGGCATAATTGTATAGTGGTGTAATTGTATAGTGGTATAATTATATAGCGGAATAATTGTGGTGGGATAATTATATAGTAGTATAAGTGTATAGCAGTATCATTGTATAGAGGTATAATTGTATAGCGGTATCATTGTATAGTGGTATAATTGTATAGCGGTATCATTGTATAGTGGTTTAAATGTATAGTGGTGTAATTCTATAATGGTATAATTGTATAGTGGTATAATTGTATAGCGGTATAATTGTATAGCGGTATAATTGAATAGCGTTATAATTGTATAGCGGTATAATTGTATAGCTGTATAATTGTATAGTGGTGTAATTGTATACTTTGCAGTTAGGTGTGCATGGACTTGAGATGGAGCGGGGGGATCCTAATCTTAACAATTGTGGATCTTTTCAATTTTGTCAGTTAAAAAAAAAATTTGAAAAACTTACCCATGTGCCAAATGATGCCAGAAACGAGCCCAGAGTTATCTGACTTGCTTGTCTCAAGGGCATCCACTCATACTTGTTTTTGAGCTGAGAACATCATGATTACAGCACATGAGATGATTACAGCACATGAGATGATTACAGCACATAAGGTTAATACAGAACATGAGATAAATACAGCAGCTGAGAGGATTACATCACATGATATGATTACATAACATGAGATGATTACATCACATGATATCATTACATCACATATCATTACATCACATGAGATGATTACATAACATGAGATGATTACATAACATGAGATGATTACAGCACATGATATGATTACAGCACATGAGATGATTACATAACATGAGATGATTACAGCACATGATATGATTACAGCACATGATATGATTACAGCACATGAGATGATTACATCACATGAGATGATCACAGCACATGATATGATTACATAACATGAGATGAGTACATCACATGAGATGATTACAGCACACGAGATGATTACATCACGTGAGATGATCATAGCACATGAGATGATTACATCACATGAGATGATCACAGCACATGAGATGATTACATCACATGAGATGATTACATCACATGAGATGATCACAGCACATGATATGATTACAGCACATGAGATGATTACATCACATGAGATGATCACATCACATGATATGATTACAACACATGATATGATTACATCACATGAGATGATTACAGCACATGAGATGATTACAGCACATGAGATGATCACAGCACATGAGATGATCACAGCACATGATATGATTACATCACATGAGATGATTACAGCACATGAGATGATCACAGCACATGAGATGATTACAGCACATGAGATTATCCCATCACATGAGATGATTACAGCACATGAGATGATCACATCACATGAGATGATCACAGCACATGAGATGATTACATCACATGAGATGATCACAGCACATGAGATGATTACAGCACATGAGATTATCACATCGCATGAGATGATTACAGCACATGATATGATTACATCACATGAGATGATTACAAAACATGAGCATGTTACAGGAATAATTGTAATGTGTACTTCAACACACACATGTACATCAATCCAATAATTTAATTCCTATTGCATGTAGGTCGTGATCTTAAGCTAATGTATGTCTGGATCTAACACTAAGACAGAAAGTCTTTGGAAAGCATTGCATTTTGAAAACATAGAGTTGCGCCCATTGAAGATTTTACTAATAATTTTCCCATCAAAATAACAATGAAACAATACATTTTTCTTCATGGCTCACTGATCTTGACCTGGTCAGCCAGGTGTGGCAACTGATTAACACACGTCTTCAAAATCAAAGTCATCATATCAGTGTATCTATGGATATTGATTGGCTGTAAGAGGTGAACAGTACCTGCATCAGTTTCTTTTCAAACTCCAGAACCTCTGAGAGTTTTGATGGATCAAAAGTTGGATCAAACTTCTCCAAGGCATGAGAGGAAGTCCTCATCACTTCACTCAAGCCGTCATCCGCCAATAAAAACAAGGGGTTCGACGTGAAAAGTCCAGAAGTAAACTGTTAGGAAAGGTTGTTTTTATGAGTACAGTGTAATGACAGCCTCACTCTGGGTTAGGTTTAGGGTTAGCGTTAGAGTATTTGTTAAACTAACTTTATCAGTTAGCATGAAAGGGTTAGGGTATTTTTTTAACTAACTTTATCAGTTAGCATGAAAGGGTTAGGGTATTTTTTTAACTAACTTTATCAGTTAGCATGAAAGGGTTAGGATTAGGGTTAGAGTATTTTTTTAACTAACTTTATCAGTTAGCATGAAAGGGTTAGGGTTAAGGTTAGAGTATTTGTTAACTAACTTTATCAGTTAGCATGAAAGCCTTACCACAGGCAGGAATCTGGTGCCATCTGTCATATCGGGGTACATCTCTACCGAGAAGAAGGCACCCAGATCGAGGGGCGCCACCTTCTCCATGACACTCTGTAGGGACCACGTGGCTTCGTCCCAGGCGTCGAGCCCATTGGATGTTATCGTCCACGATCCAAAAGATTTTATAATCTTGAAATAGGAAAGTCCAGTTTTTGAAATACATCATTGATGTCAAATGACCGGTGCAGTGAAATTGTAACAGTCAATGATTAAGTGGTATCAAATGATTATGTGCTACAAATGCTTATATGCTTCCAAATGGTTATGTGCTACCAAATTATTATATGCTACCAAATGATTATATGTTACTAAATGATTATATGCTATTAAATGAGTATGTGCTACAAATGCTATATGCTATCAAACGAGCATGGTGCTATGGTCAATGGTCAAGAAGAATAATTTAAATGAGAATTTTTTAGCAGTTAAAAATGTAACCATTTAAATATAGCGTGCTATATAATACCACAACAGATATACATTATAGAACAAACTGCAGTTATAGAATAAACTACAGTTATAGAACAAACTACAGTCATAGCAGAAAGTACAAACATAGAACAAACTACAGTCATATTACAAACTAGTCATAGAACAAACTATAGTTATAGAGCAAACTAGAGTTATAGAACAAACTACACTTATGGAACAAACTACAGTTATGGAACAAACTACAGTCGTAAAACAAACTACAGTCATAGAAACAAACTACGGTCGTAAAACAAACTACAGTCATAGATCAAACTACAGTCATAGAACAAACTACAGTCACAGATCAAACTACAGTCATAGAACAAACTACAGTCATAGATCAAACTACAGTCATAGAACAAACTACAGTCATAGAACAAACTACAGTCGTAGATCAAACTACAGTCACAGAACAAACTACAGTCATAGAACAAACTACAGTCATAGATCAAACTACAGTCATAGAGCAAACTAGAGTTATAGAACAAACTACACTTATGGAACAAACTACAGTTATGGAACAAACTACAGTCGTAAAACAAACTACAGTCATAGAAACAAACTACGGTCGTAAAACAAACTACAGTCATAGATCAAACTACAGTCATAGAACAAACTACAGTCACAGATCAAACTACAGTCATAGAACAAACTACAGTCATAGATCAAACTACAGTCATAGAACAAACTACAGTCATAGAACAAACTACAGTCGTAGATCAAACTACAGTCACAGAACAAACTACAGTCATAGAACAAACTACAGTCATAGATCAAACTACAGTCACAGAACAAACTACAGTCATAGAACAAACTACAGTCATAGATCAAACTACAGTCATAGAACAAACTACAGTCATAGATCAAACTACAGTCATAGAACAAACTACAGTCATAGATCAAACTACAGTCATAGAACAAACTACAGTATTAGAACAAAATACAGTCATAGATCAAACTACAGTCATAGAACAAACTACAGTCATAGAACAAACTACAGTCATAGAAAAAACTAGTCATATAACAAACTACAGTCATAGAAAAAACTAGTCATATAACAAACTACAGTCATAGAACAAACTACCGTTATAGAACAAACTACAGTTATAGAACAAACTACAGTTACAGAACAAACTACAGTTACAGGACAAACTACAGTTATAGAACAAACTACAATTATAGCCTCTTAGAAACTTACTGTTGAAAGTCGCGACACCGCCTTGGCATCAATTGTCTTCACATCAATGCAAGAGCGATAGTAGGTCTTGAGTTTACCAATGGCGGTGGATGGTGTTCCCTTGAGTTTATTTTCATTAGATTCTAGAATCTAACAGAAGAAAAACATTGGGTGGGGTGGGGGGGTGGGGTGGGGGGGTGGGGGGGGGGGTGTCAATGTTGTATTTAAACAAAGGAACAAAGGAAAATGCATTTTGTTGTAAAGGGATAAATCTAAGTATCAGTGTTAAGTTGAATACTTCATGTTAAGTTGAAAAGTTCATGTTAAGTTGAATAGTTCATGTTAAGTTGAATAGTTCATGCTAAGATGAATAGTTCATTTTAAGTTGAATAGTTCATATTAAGTTCAATAGTTCATGTTACGTTGAGTAGTTCATGTTAAGTTGAATAGTTCATGTTAAGTTGAATAGTTCATGTTAAGTTGAATAGTTCATATTAAGTTGAATAGTTCATGTTAAACAAGGTTCTAATAACATGAACAATTTCATGACAATTCAATCACTGCCCCCCCCCCCCCAATATATTAAAGACAGAGTTCAAATTGGGACTTTTCACTCTTAAAGTAAACAAAAACTCAATTTTTATAATTAAGCCATCTTTTGGATCTGGACGGCAAATAATAATAATTTTGTTAAAATCTGTAGATAATAGATGTAACTGACTTGATGATGAAACTGACTGCTGTTATAATGCAGTTGTAGTTACTTAAACCTATTCGTAATATAATAGTGAAAAGTGTGAGTGCGCATATGGGTGGAGAGGTGTAGCAAACCAACAACTCCTCATGTGGGTATGTGGGTACAAGCTGGGGAGTAGCCACTGCTGGTAAACAAGCCAACAGTTTCACTCAATCACTGGTTACACTTAAGTAGGTCACTCAGCTTATGGTTGTCATTCAGCAATGCTTGTGCACTTAAGTAGGTTACTAAGCTTCTGGCTGTCATTCAGCAATGCTTGTGCACTTAAGTAGATTACTAAGCTTCTGGCTGTCACTCAGCAATGCTTGTGCACTTAAGTAGGTCACTCAGCTTCTGGCTGTCATTCAGAAATGTTTTTACACTTAAGTAGGTCACTCAGCTTCTGGCTGCCATTCAGAAATGCTTGTACACTTAAGTATGTCACTAAGCTTCTGGCTGTTATTCAGCAATGCTCGTGCACTTAAGTAGGTCACTCAGCTTCTAGCTGTCATTCAGCAATGCTTGTGCACTTAAGTAGGCCAACTCAGCTTCTGGCTGTCATTCAGCAATGCTTGTGCACTTAAGTAGGTCACTCAGCTTCTGGCTGTCATTCAGCAATGCTTGTGCACTTAAGTAGGCCAACTCAGCTTCTGGCTGTCATTCAGCAATGCTTGTGCATTTGAGTAGGTCACTCAGCTTATGGCTGTCATTCAGCAATGCTTGTGCTCTTGAGTAGGTCACTCAGCTTCTGGCTGTCATTCAGCAATGCTTGTGCACATAAGTAGGTCACTCAGCTTCTGGCTGTCATTCAGCAATGCTTGTGCACTTAAGTAGGTCACTCAGCTTCTGGCTGTCATTCAGCAATGCTTGTGCACTTAAGTAGGTCACTCAGCTTCTGGCTGCCATTCAGAAATGCTTGTACACTTAAGTAGGTCACTCAGCTTCTGGCTGCCATTCAGAAATGCTTGTACACTTAAGTAGGTCACTCAGCTTCTGGCTGCCATTCAGAAATGCTTGTACACTTAAGTAGGTCACTCAGCTTCTGGCTGCCATTCAGAAATGCTTGTACACTTAAGTAGGTCACTCAGCTTCTGGCTGCCATTCAGAAATGCTTGTACACTTAAGTAGGTCACTCAGCTTCTGGCTGCCATTCAGAAATGCTTGTACACTTAAGTAGGTCACTCAGCTTCTGGCTGCCATTCAGAAATGCTTGTACACTTAAGTAGGTCACTCAGCTTCTGGCTGCCATTCAGAAATGCTTGTACACTTAAGTAGGTCACTCAGCTTCTGGCTGCCATTCAGAAATGCTTGTACACTTAAGTAGGTCACTCAGCTTCTGGCTGTCATTCAGCATGTTTTGCCTATATCTAACACTACTTTCAATGTCTGCCTTTATCTACCACTACTTTCAATGTCTGCCTATATCTTCCCCTACTTTTATTGTCTGGCTTTATCTTCCACTACCTTCATTGTTTTCCTATATCTACCACTACTTTCATTGTTTTCCTATATCTTCGATTACTTTCACTGTCTCGCTTTATCTTCCATTACTTTCAATGTCTCCCTATGTCTTGCATTATTTTCATTGCCTTCCTATATCTTCCACTACCTTCATTGTCTGGCTATATCTTCCACTACTTTCAATGTCTGCCTATATCTTCCATTACATTCATTGTCTTCCTACATCTACCACTACTTTCATTTTCTTCCTACATCTACCACTACTTTCATTGTCTTCCTACATCTACCACTACTTTCATTGTCTTCCTATATCTTCCATTACCGTCATTATCTTCCACTACTTTCATTATCTTCCTATATATTCCATTACTTTCAATGTCTGCATATATCTTTTATTACTTTCAATGTCTGCCTATATCTACCACAACTTTCAATGTCTGCCTATATCTTCCACTACTTTCATTGTCTTCCAATATTTTCCATTACTTTCATTGTCTGGCTATATCTTCCATTACTTTCATTGTCTTCCTATATCTTCCACTACTTTCATTATCTTCCTATATCTTCCATCACTTTCAATGTCTGCATATATCTTTTATTACTTTCAATGTCTGCCTATATCTACCACAAATTTCAATGTCTGCCTATATCTACCACAACTTTCAATGTCTGCCTATATCTACCACAACTTTCAATCTCTGCCTATATCTACCACAACTTTCAATCTCTGCCTATATCTACCACAACTTTCAATGTCTGCCTTTATCTACCACAACTTTCAATCTCTGCCTATAGGACTTTCTGCCTATAACTTTCACTACTTTGATTGTCTTCCTATATCTTCTATTACTTTCAATGTCTGCCTATATCTTCAGACTGCCAACCTACCTAGAAAAAAAAACTGAAAGGGGGTTGCAAGCAGGGGGAAATGGGGCCGCAGCACCCCGTGGTGGGGGGGGGGTCGTTGGTTTAAGATCTATATACTAATGCACGCCTTTTTTAGAAAAATAAAGAAATATAAAGTTACCTCCATTGTCTTTGAAGGGTCCATAGAACACCAAAGAACATTAGGTAAACATTACGGGAAATGTTTATATACAGATATATACAGGACAGAACAGAAGGTCCATTTAATTTACTTATGTACACATACACAGGCTGCTAAGACTCTTAGTCTTAGTAAAAGTTCAGTATTCCAGCATATCCCTAGTGATAGTGGCCTTTTTCACTTGCTCTTTGGACTTAAGACAACTGAAGGTTAGCACTGCAGTTGATTTTAATTACAAGCAAGTTAGAAAGAGTATCAACTTTCATGCTTGCCCTTGTTTCATTGTAATTTTTCTTTACAATCTTCTAGCATTCTGTAACTCTTGAAACATTTCTTTGACTCTGGCATTAAAATTAAAACGATCGGAGTTGGCTAGGGCTAGAGAAATATTTCCTTCAATGTTTATTAATATCATTGTCGCCATCACTTTCAATAGATTGAAGCATTTAACAAAAAAAGTCTGAATTATTTTTTAGCATTGTAAAAAAGGATGAATAGAGATCGCATCAATTGACGATTGAAGGATTATTTGAAGATCGCGGTTGGCTTCAATAAAAACAATGCAGTGTCTACACGTCAGGCGACCAGACAGATAGTGCGGGACATATTTATCCGGTGGGCGTGCCACTTTTTAACCAATTGTTCATTATATATGGTTCTAGTATTTCTTTTTTATAATTGAACATATTTCTTTTTCGTGTAAATCTGCAGACTATCTTTAATTTGTTGAAATGAAGTACCGTAAACTCTGATAGACAATTAGCGGTTACATGACAAGGCTGACGGACAAAATCTTGGGCAACTCTGTTACGGTGGTCATATGACTTGGTCGAATAAACACTAGGCGGACGAATATCTCGAGAATTTATTCACTTATTCATTCGAGTGCTGGACATCATGTAAAACAAATGCAACACTTCCTGTAGTACCAGATTTTTTTTTTTTTTTTTTTTTGTTGCTTTCAGATTTTTTTGAAGGTTGAAACTATATTAAGTTTGAAAAATCTGAATTTTAAGGGGTTCCTCGGAAGGTCGGAATGAGGGGTAAAAAATCCGTATAATTCCGACAAAATCGGAAGGGTTGGTAGGTCTGTATCTTCCACTTCTTTAAATGTCTGCCTATATCTTCCACTACTTTCAATGTCTGCCTATATCTTCCACTACTTTCATTGTTTGCCTATATCTACCACTATTTTCAATGTCTGCCGATATCTTCCACTAATTTCATTGTCTGCCTACATCTACCACTACTTTCAATGTCTGCATATATCTAAATAAAACTATTTTTTTTCCAAGACTTTTAACGTCTGGCTAAAACAAAACAGAAATAATGAAATAGAGTGATGAACTGATCTAAGTATGTATATGAAGAAAAAATATTTGAACCCGTTGTGTTCATTCTTATAATTATGAAATTAAATATGAATTGTCTAGAAATGATCTTAAAAGAAAGGTTCTTTAAGTAACAAACAACCTTTACTTACTTTACATCATGATGACATAATTACTTGACATCATAATGACATAGGGTTTAATATTAAACCCAACAAACATTTAATTCGATGTTTAAGTATGTGGGTCTCTCCCCTATTTCAATAAAATTACAGAGGAATAATAAAGGAATGGGCAACAATTTACCTGTAGTAAAATATTCTCAACATTCGCTCCCCTTTCTCCTATTTGATTCCACTTCCCGTAATCCGTTGGTATAGCATGTTTCTTCATCCATCCACCACAAGAGTGAAGATACATGTCATCGCATGGCTTTACTTTAGGGTCGACCATGCTCAGGAAATGTGCGCTGTTCTGCAGACAGTTAGGCGTCACGCAATGCTTTGGAAGAGAGAGATGATCCATTTTCAATTTTCACAGCCTTCGTAATCTACAGTCTACCCACATAGGCTAATCGCACAGTCAACCCGCATGTCAAGCTGCACGGTTGAACCACACAGTCTGCCCACCGTCTCCCCACACATTTTAACCATGCAGTCTTCCAAAAAAGTCTACCCACAGTGTGGTATGTTAGTCCTGTCCAGATCAATCATGACAATTTCAATCAACAGATTTGTATGGGGCTTAATATTCTGTGGGGGCACAAATTTCCCAAACAGTCTACCCACAGTGTGGTATGCTAGTCCTGCCAAGATCAATCATGACAATTTCAATAAACAGATTTGTATAGGGCCTAATATTCTGTGGGGGCACAAGTTTCCCAAACAGTCTACCCACAGTGTGGTATGCGAGTCCTGCCAAGATCAATCATGACAATTTCAATAAACAGATTTGTATGGGGCCTAATTTTCTGTGGGGGCACAAGTGGCTAGTGAGGCCGTTTCTTGCTCAAAATGTGCTTGTGAAGACGGCACAATGGATGGATGGGGCATCTCCAGGTGTAGTGTTACCTCGGCTTTTCCCACACAGTCCACCCACACATTTTAACCATCCGGTCTACCCGCAATATCTACCTCCACAGAATGACCCAGTCTAACCACACAGTGTAGCCAAGCAGTCTAACCACATTCTCTAATCAAGCAGTTTATCCTCTGCCGACCCACACGGCTTATCATTAGTCTACCCACACAGCCCTACACGCTGTCCATTACCATAGACTAATGTAGCCATTAGACATTAGACATAGAGATTAAAACAATTGTAACAAAGTTACAAAGCAAAAGAATAAACCTACTTTAAGCATAAACATGAATACCTTTTCTGCCTCTAAAAACTGAGGCACCAGTTCCATCGATTTGTGGTAGATGAGTGCGCTAAGTATAGAGATGATAATGGACAGAACACAAAGCACACATAGATAGTACATAAGGTTGCTCTCTTGGGCAGGTGCTTTTTGCATGGTGGGATGCTGGTCTAGTCCCGCTCTTAATGGATCCTGGTAAGAAAACAAAAAAGACAAATTGGAGTGAGTAATCTTATCAAGCTCATGTCACGGTGAATTGTTTCCCTTTGGTTGTTGTCACATGCCAGATCGCCTAAAACTATTTGCTGATTGTGTTTTGCATATACGGCAAGTCATTGTCTATGGCAAGTCATTGTAAGCCACAAGTCATTGGCAGGTCAGACAAAAAAATAATTTTAGGAAGATTTAAGCTCAAATTAATTATCCACACAGAAATATGGATTAGCTCTAGCCTGCACTAGGACCAATGTTAACATATTGAATACTTTTTTGTATCAGAAGAAATATGGATTAGCTCTAGCCTGGACTAGGAACAATGTTAACATATTGAATAATTTTTGTATCAGAAGAAATATGGATTAGCTCTAGCCTGGACTAGGAACAATGTTAACATATTGAATACTTTTTGTATCAGAAGAAATATGGATTAGCTCCAGCCTGGACTAGGAACAATGTTAATAGAATACTTTTTGTATCAGAGCATCTGAAATACATCTGAATTTTGACATTTTAAATTCAATTTTTGGGAGATTTAAAATGTGTACTTATTAATATATTGTTATATATGCTTAGTTCATGCCATAGACATTATATAACATGGCAGAATGCAAAATTTTAAACAATTTAGTTGATATTTTAAAAAGTTATCATCAATTATCTGAACTAAATGAATGTTGAAATTTTGTGAATAAGCACGCAGTAATTTTATTCATAAAGTAATAAATTCTCTAATCTTTATGACCCCATGAAAGAAAAGGATGTCTTTTAGCTTCAACTTTTGACTGTTCTAACCCTAATTTAAGCCTTCTTCTTGCTCCTCTGGCTTCTAAGGATTTTGTCATTTGTTAATGTGGTTTCGATATTCACCATAATGAAATAGTCGAATGTAAACTGACCACAGGACAGCTGCTAAACTCTTAGAGGAGCCTCCAATGCTTTGGATCCATCATTGAAAAGAAGGGTTGCCAATCCCACACCAATGTTGACAGCTCATAAACCATGAGATTTGTTCTTAGGGCACATGTTTAATATAATACCATACAGTGCCGTAACTAGGGTTGGTGTCACCGAGTGCGGTGAACTCATGGTATCATCCCCTCCCCCCCGACTTCCAAGATGGATTTCTTCTTGTTAAAATAATTCTTAAGTATAACAATGACAAGAACCTAAAGTTATTGTTATTTTTACATTAAATTTAATTTATTTAAAATTTTCCTTCCCTGGTCTTCAAAGCTGCAAACCTGTCAAAATAGCCTTCACCGCATCACTTTCAATTGATAGTTTTTCCAGATCAGAAAGCCTTGACTTGACTGTCCCATGGTAGATTGTAAAGGGTTCTTGATAAGCCTTAGCTCTGCTCACATCAAGCCACAGACACACAGATCGTAAGAAACAATTGAAGGCTTAGCAAGAGTACTGGAAGATATTCTAGGAAGTCCCATTCAGCTTTGAATTTCAAAACATCAAATACTGACTAGTCCATGACATTGGGAAATTCAATATCAGCTGCCTCGAGTGTCTCTAAGCCTTGGTATTTCTTTTAAAAGTTCATTGTCTGATAACTCATTATAGAAAGACTAGTCCATGACATTGGGAAATTCAATATCAGCTGCCTCGAGTGTCTCTAAGCCTTGGTATTTCTTTTAAAAGTTCATCGTCTGATAACTCATTATAGAAAGAGGTTAATTTTGGAATGGACACCAATAGCTCTTCTTCACTTACTGATAATAGACTCTTAGGTTGAACAGCCCCAAACATATTTGCTACTTCCCTGATCACTGATGGTTTGATCTGGATTTCAGAATCTCTCCAGCATCTTTCTAATGTTTTCTGCTTGCTGAGAGAGTGCAGCATCTATTAATTGTTCTCCTGCCATTTTCTTCTTAAACCTTAATCTTCTCTCTACCAAAATTCCATATTGGTATCATTTAAAAGTGCCTTTTCAATAGCATGTTCCACCAAATGACAGCGCTTCTCATGCAGAAACAATCTTAAGGCCTCTAGGTTAGTCACCACTTTGTAGAGAGTAAAGCCTTCAGTCTGCAAATACTGCTGATTAACATCCTCCAGTATATCAACCTAAAGGTAAAGTTGCAAATAAATGTGAAACCTCAGACAGCATTTAAAAGACCTTATGCTGTACCTCTTGTATCCAAATTTTCAGGAGGATCACATAGTTTCAATTGCCGCAAAACATTCATCAAACTTATCTTTCACTGTTTTAACAGCACCATGATGAGCACTCTAACTTGTTTTTTGACAGTCTTTTCATCGACAGTCCAGTGTGTTCAGTTAAAGTGGATGCAGCAAAAAAGGAATAATAATACATGAAGCATTTTTGGCAAAAGAGTGTCACTTTGTCTTTTATGAAAGTTACCAAACACTGCCAACGGCATTGAATCAGGGTTAAATTGGTTTTTATTGACCTTATTATATGCAAGCATTTGGATTGGTTAGATGTGTGGAAAATATCTGAGTGATTGGTTATCCTTTTATGAAATTCAAATAAGTCGAGCAGTGTGTGCTCTAGAAATATGCAATTTTTTCAATCTGATGTAATCCCCTGAGAGGGTGCCACCTAGTGCGGTCTGCACCCCCTAGCTACGCCACCGATACTGTTCATTGATTAATTTGCATTTTGAGTATAAACATCTCAACATTTAATAAAATAAAAATTCTTGGATGGGCAAGGTCTCTATTAACTGGCTTTATTATATCCATTTCCATTGTTTCATTATATTACTAACAAAATAACATTAAAATTAATAATTAATGAAAGTATTTTCGACGTCGTAATCTTTACAATGTCTTATCATTTATTCCATAGATATCTTTCAATTTAATTTCTTTCAAGTGCAAATTTCAATTACATTTTAATTTTAAATCTTCAATTTCAATCAAGCCTCAAGAATTCAAATACCAAAGGCTGCAGCTATTCAGACCAAAGTTTCAAGAGTGAGAGGTTGGGATTATTAAACAAATTAAAATATTATTGTAGGGTTTGTAAGTCAAAATTTGGTATCAAATGAAAGATAATCTATGGACTAGGCCTATATGATACTATATGTTTTTAAACTTACTTCTTCGGTTTAACTAAAATAAACTACCACAATCACAAATGACATCAGAATAGCATTTACTAGCCACTTTGATGAAAATTTCAAAACCTTTTTTTAAATTTTAAAAATACTACAGCTGTATAGGGCCTGGAGAATAGATTACAAAAACACCAAGATCAACTTTTTAGCTCAAGTGGTTCAAAAGTTATGAATTTTTTAGTAGGGATCTCAAAACCACATTTTTACTATGGGATTTTCCTCAACGTTTTGTGACCCTCATTTTGCTTTTTTTTTAACGTCTGTAACTTTATTATAAAATGATACAAAAATATAATATTTACAGGGAACATAGTTAAATAAGAGTACTTCTAAATAAAGCCACAAAATATATGTTAATTTTTGTTAATGTGCCACAAATATTTTTTTTTAAAACTTTATTATGTGCCTATCAAAAAAAAAATGTATAAAAATGCTGACTCAACACTTATTTGTAATTAATTAATTAAAATTTTGTTTTAATTTTGTTTTTAATTTCCCAAAAATCATAATAATAATAATATTCTTTAGATATTAATTGCAGATTTTCTGTGGAATTGTTTAGCATTTATAAGCATACAAAAATAATTAAGGGATTATTTGTTTTACCATTTTCTACATATGTATATTATATTATTCCTATAATGACAAAACAATCAGCGTGTCATTTATTTTAAGTTTGTAATCTTGTTTTACAAATCAACATGTATTATTAGAATCAACTTTGACTTGAGCTGTTAATAGAAAATAAAATAAGTTCTAGTCATTTACTAGAGGTAAGTACAGGTTTTTATGATTGTTCTTTAGTACCGGTAATAATATCTTAAGTAATTCTTGGATTGTTGTGCCAGAAAGTGTGTTTTTTTTCTTTGAGAAACTGAGAATTACATAATAATTCTCTTGTGGAATTTTGTGATATGTGATTAAATATAGGATATTTCAATACCAAAGGTAAGTGAATATTTTTTTAAAATTTTACTTATGCCTTAAGCCTTCACAATATTCATTAAAATTTTATTACATATCCTAAAATATCATAAAATATAATTTATTATAATAGCCCCTACAAATTAGTTGGATTGGGTCTAGGCCTTAACCCTCATATAGTATACTTTGTATTATACTATATGTATGCAAGGCCTATAGCGTATGATCATTATATATATATAAATATTTATCTATAAATATATAAACTAACATAAATGATAAATATATTAGTTGTAATAAAAGCTATTTATCCCACTCCTTAAATCATTTATGATAGTATAATTACCATTATAATACTTTTACTAAGCCTATCTAAGTCAAAATTGAAAGACAAGAGCATATCAGTCCCATGTCAGTGTCAGCCAGGTCCATGGCAACCAACCCAAAAATTAAAATCACTGATATTCAATAAGCCAATAATAATTATTTATGTTACAAAACATTTTTATTGATATAAAATGATTTCTTATTAGTTATATTTCCCATTTACACTCTGGACTCTGGATAACCAACTTAATGAATTATTAATTTAGTTTATTAGTGGTAGTTTATTTTAGTTAAACTGAAGAAGTAATCTTACAAGTAGTCCATTCAATTATCTTTCATTTGATACCAAATTTCGTCTCACAAACCCAACAATAATATTTCTAATATTTTTAAATCCCAACCTCTCGGTTCTGACTCTAATATTGATAACCGCCGGTCAGGGTCCAAATAGTAATAGCGGTAATCAAATAGCTACTTCCAGTATCAGATTCTTGCTTTGATTATTTACATTTAAAATATCCTCACTGGGTCCAATTTTAGGCTTAGCTTTTCTGTTTCCATAAAACTTTAATTACTTTGAACATCCTGAATATTTGTTATCACTTGGAATGGTATGAACAAATTATTTTAAATATTCACTAAAATGTTTTGTTTGTTTGAATGGAAGCCGCCATGTACAGAAGTAAAAGGACTGATCATTGTATTAAACAATTATTGGGGAGGTAATCGTTGTCTTAAAATAATTAATTCATGAAAAAGTAAAATGATTAATTTTTAATTTATTTATTTTTTATTTTATTTTTTTTTAATTTTTTTTTTTTTATTTTAATTTTTTTTTTTTTTTTGGGGGGGTTTTTTTTTTTTGTTTTTTCGTTGTTTAGGTTTGGTCAGATGGTGTAATTCTGATACACCACCATTTAGAATTTGGCACAAAGTTTGAATCAAATCACTTTTAATCTGAAGGCGAAAATAGATCCAGATGTTTGTTTTGATTTGTTTTTTAAAACGCAAAAATAATAATTTTAAACCGTTACCTCACCTGGTATTCTAAATAAAGGCCCTACTTCAATTAACTCATCAGGAGCACATCTGTCAACGATTCATTTATTTAACACATTGTAGTATGTATCGACTTAACATCCTTGTCTCAAAAAAGATCACTTCCATATCACAAACTTTCACTCTCGGCATTTTGAAGACTTCCAGGAAGTGCGTCATCAAACTGGTTTAGTTAGGTGCGACCGCCTTAGTAACGCTTCTTGGCACCACTAGTGCGATTTTTCAAAATGAAGCCAAAGTTTCTGTTTGTCAAAGATGATTATGTACTTCGTTTCTAAGTAAAGACTGACGGGACTAAATAAGTATGATAAGAATGAGCACATAAGTTTATATTTTCCATTTATTTATGGGGGGGGGGGGGGGGGGGGCTCCTGTCTGCTGAAGAAAGCGTTTAGCCGAAACGTCACAGTAGTTTTCCTGTCTTAGTACTCTTAGGAACAGCCCCGTTCTTAGGCATACGCTCACTACGTAGGGCCCCGAACGTGAGGGGGCCCCGGGAGGCGCCCTCGATCCCCCAGTTTTTGTTTTTTTTGTTTTTTTGAACTGGCACTTGGGCCGTCTGTGTCACTCACGTAACCTTCCTCATCCTGAAATTTATAATTCTGAGTTGAATTCGGAGGCAGGGGAAGGAAAGCAGCAGAGGGGAGCTTTGGGGGTGGCAGACAGGAAATCGGGGGCTTGGCCGTAGGGATGGGAAAGAGGAAACATTGATGAAGGCAGAATGGAGGTGCCGAAGTGGTGGGTGGTGTTTTCTCCTCAGCTCGAGGGAGCTCCACCCCAGGACCCCCCCCCCTCCCGGTGCCCCCAAACTCCTAAGAACGGCTCTGTTAGGAAGGTCTAAAAGAAACTTCGACTTCGGTGAAAGAGAAGTAGGTATGCACACGTGAATTCTGAATGCAAGAATCAATGGCTTGTCTCCCATGGTCAGTGGCGTATCTCCAAGGACCCGTGGGGTAAGGCCCATGGTCAGTGGCGTATCTCCAAGGATCCGTGGGGTAAGGCCCATGGTCAGTGGCGTGTCTCCAAGGATCCGTGGGGTAAGGCCCATGGTCAGTGGCGTATCTCCAAGGACCCGTGGGGTAAGGCCCATGGTCAGTGGCGTATCTCCAAGAACCAGTGGGGCAAGGCCCATGGTCAGTGGCGTATCTCCAATGCGTGTCTCCAAGGACCCGTGGGGTAAGGACGATGGTCAGTGGCGTATCTCCAAGGACCCGTGGGGTAAGGCCCATGGTCAGTGGCGTATCTCCAAGGACCTGTGGGGTAAGGCCCATGGTCAGTGGCGTATCTCCAAGGACCCGTGGGGTAAGGCCCATGGTCAGTGGCGTATCTCCAAGGACCTGTGGGGTAAGGCCCATGGTCAGTGGCGTATCTCCAAGGATCAGTGGGGTAAGGCCCATGGTCAGTGGCGTATCTCCAAGAATCCGTGGGGTAAGGCCCATGGTCAGTGGCGTATCTCCTGCTATCAAAATCACTTCCTCTAGTATCTGCCCAAAGCACAAACTACTCATTCACCCTTACACCTTAACAGCCCCCCCCCCTTCAATCTGACACTCTTCCCTCATCCGCGGTTCTAACACCTTAACCCTGCCCCCATCCTCTTAGACTCTCTTTAAACTCAGAATAACCTTATCCTATAAGATGTTAGCCACCTATAAACTGAAATTAGTTAACTGAAAATCAGTTAATAAACCACCACCCCCACTCTCTCACTCACTCTCTCACTTACTTTCTGTCACAATTCATTTGCTGCCCACGGATAATACTTCTAAGCTAAGTGCTATTTTTTATACTGTTTTTTCTGTTGTTTTGTTCGCTGACGAAGGCTTCCTGCCGACACGTTCGTTGTTTTGTTGCGTTCCTATTCCCAGGTTTACCCCTTCTTTGTTTTACTCATTTTATATTGACTTAGAGACCAACTGTGGCAAGGTCCATATTATGACTTAGACACTAACTGTAGGAAGTCAATATTATGATTTAGACACTAGCTATGGCAAGGTCCTTATTATGACTCAGACACTAGCTGTGGCAAGGTCCTTATTATGACTCAGACACTAGCTGTGGCAAGGTCCTTATTATGACTCAGACACTAGCTGTGGCAAGGTCCTTATTATGACTCAGACACTAGCTGTGACAATGTCCTTATTATGACTTAGACACTAGCTATGGCAAGATCCATAGTATGACTTAGCTCTAAGCATTAACTTATGAAGAGGTTTAAAATGTAAACGAACATTTCCGGGGACTACATTCCGTACATAAGTCATAACAATAAGTGCTCATAGAGATCCGTCGTATAGATCCGTCATTTCATTTTTTTTTTAATGACGTCATATACGACAGAAGGACATCACATTTTTTTTTCAATTCTTACGATCGAAGGGAGGCTGTCGTGTATTTTTTTTTTTTTTTTTTAATATTTTAAAATTGTTTTTTTCGGTCAAAGGGAAGTTTTCGTGCATATATTTTTTAATCTTTAAGATTGCAATTTATTCCCCATTACTTTTTTTTTTTTTTTTTTGTTTGGAAGGGGGGTTTTTTTTTTTTTTTTTTTTTTTTTTAATATCTTAAAATTGATTTTTACGGTCAAAGGGAAGTTATCGTGCATATATTTTTTAATCTCTAAGATTGCAAGTTATTCCCCATTACTTTTTTATGACATATTTTAGAGTTAAATTGTTCTGTGCCAAGTTATTTCCATTTGTCCATGACGTAATGTGCTTCAAATTTTCTTTTTCTCTGTTTCCTCTCTTTGAGCATCGTTTTAAAATCATAATATGAAATTATAGATTTCAAACAAGCATCACTTTAAATCGATGGTATGAAGCCTTAAAGAATAAGGAGCGTCCATTAATTATGTCAACAAAATAGGGTGGTGGGGGGGAGGGGTGTTTGGAAATATTTGACAATTGTTGACAAATTAACCTCAACAATCATGTTTTCTCTATTAAAATTGTTATATTAAAAATAGACTGGTTATTAAATTATTATAAAAATTTTAATTAGTGTAAATTGTTATATAATTTTTAGTATTTTAATAATATAAGATTTGTTGAATGTATGTCTGTCTGTGCACTGCATATATTGCATATGGCTTGGTCAGAATGTTAGCACACTTTGTTAGTGCAATAGAAGTCAAAATGTTGAAAAACCATGTGCAACAGCACCGACAATGCCCTCTTGAGCATACGAAATTCCCACCTGCTTCTCAACAAAAAAGGATTCGACCATTGCGAGTAGCTGCAAGGAGACAGAGAGAGCTTATGGCAATTTTTCCTCACAGTGACAATGCTCCTATTTTCAGTTCTGAATGATTACTGGTACCGGTATCAGTTCTGCAAGATGAAAATGATAAATCAGCTAATATGCCAATTGTTACGATATAGCAACACCTGGTTACTCCATGGGAATATGATAACAGCTAGAAACTATGCTACAATTGTCAGTTATACTTACAATAATCATATTTATACTTCCATAAACAATGATATTTAGTCTTTAACAGCCTTCTAATTGATTCTGCATTATAAAATTTAAGTTGAAAAACTTTTTAACTTGTTGATTTACAAGTTAAATGTAATAAAATGTTTTTCCTACAATTTTGTGTCATTAAAATAGATCAGCATAAAGTAAAATGTATTTATATATTTATTTTTATTATAATACATTGAGGGGGGGGGGGTAATAAAAAGCTGACATATTTACTATTAAAAGAGGGAGGGGGGGGTCATTGAGATTTCGACAGTTGTTGAGAAAAAGGGGGCGGGGGGGGGGGTAAAAAATGCGTACAATTTAAAACAATAAATGTGAAAAAAACTTATTAAAGCTTTGTAATAAAAAGCTGACATATTTACTATTAAAAGAGGGAGGGGGGGGTCATTGAGATTTCGACAGTTGTTGAGAAAAAGTGGGCGGGGGGGGGGGTAAAAAATGCGTACAATTTAAAACAATAAATGTGAAAAAAACTTATTAAAGCTTAAGGGCCATATACATTAAAGTTAAAGCTTTTGTACAAAAAGTGATTTGATATTTTTTTCATTTGTGAAATGATAACAAATATTAGATGTTCAACTGTTATTATTTGTAATATTCCGATGTACATTAGTGACTATATGATGTTTGTCATGGTTTATCTCGTTATCCTTATCCCTCATCTCAAACAAGATGTTCATTTTTAAAGCTGGATTTAGTAGCAGCAATTATTGTTTCAGGGTTTGTGTGTGTGTATGTGATTTTTTTTTTAAATTAAGTATTAAAAGGGGCGTAATTGTAAAAAGAAAACTCATTACAATTAAACATTAGCTTACCCTCCGTTGTGACCCCCAAAAATGTCTTGGTTATCCAAAATTTGTGGAAATTGGAAATTACCGTTTAAACCACGGGAATTCCCTATTTTTACGTAATGTCTCGAATATTGGCGTAGAATGTTCTGGAACAATTAGCCCCACACTTTTAGAAGGGAAAGTCTGGGCTATATTTAATAGGTTGAGTCTGTATCTACATCGTGACGTCAATGCTCTTTAAGTTGTTCTTTACTTCTAAGGCTTTTATTCGATAACAATTAACATTTTAACAAGTTTTTTAACGGTATGTGGAAAATTAGGTCAAACATGTTGGTATACAACCCATTCACGCCATGTCGGCGAAAAATAACCTTGACCTCACCATGTAAACAGTCTTCGTTCCACTTGCGCTTGCAGTTTTCGTGTGTTACGTCGTATGGTGCAATCACGTCGAAAAAAAAAGATACGATAGCCAAATAAATTGAGCGAAAATTGCAATGGCGTCCATCTTATACGCTTTTTAACTAATTATTTTATGAAAATTTTTTAGCTGTTAATTCACACAAAAAACACACATACACACAAACTTCGTGTTGAGGTTATAATTCCCATTTGCTCTAATTCTATCTAATGACCGCATATTTAATATGACCGTAGTCGGTAGCCTATCCAAAACAGATAAAAAGTGTCCTTCACATTCACATATTTCTGTTTGTTTTTTGTTTTTAAATTAATAGTTTAGGACATAAAAAATCATATATTTATCATAAATTATGCCCCGATTATAACATCACTTATAAATTTAAAAAGAATATTCTATGCAAGTGTTTCAGAACCTTCGCACCCCCACCCCCACACCCTGCAATGTGACCACAAGTGGTGCGAACACCCCACGTTGGAGAAACCATGTTCTAGACTTTGACTGGGACAA